AGCTTTCCTTTTGGCATTCATCTCTACTTGAGTCTTGCAACCTCTTGGAGTAGTGAGTACAATGCACAGAGCTGACTGTAAACATTGAAGAGGCATACAGGAATTATACATATGTATAATCCAAAGCTGTCCAAAACATTTTAATATTTAATATTATTATATCCTAAATCTTAATGGAAAAATGTGACATTCAATATAAGAAAATATTATTTGTAGTAGTAGTTGAATATACTGTATGTGTGCTGTGCATGGTTGGGGCTACAGTCAGGGTCAAAGACTAAAGAGACAATTTATGACGTAAAAGATCTGCTGCGAGATTTGTGCGGACAGACGAGAGGTTGGTGACAGTTACCGGAGAGAAAGAATAAACAGATAGAAGCAGAAGCATGAGAAAGAGAGAATAAGAGTCAGCCAATCACAAGCCTGCAGTTAGTTATCTTATCATCAATCTCCATGTAAAAACCATAGCAGTCGATGAACTATTAGAGCTGATCTTTTTTCTGCATGCTTGTCAGCAGCAAACAATAACTTGTATATTAGACCCCCGAAGCTTTGTGTCATCTTCTGTCAAAAACTCCAAATATGGTCAATAGAAAGACTGTCTGAACTTGAAAACAAATGCTTTTGTGGTAAATCATGTGACACTGTTGACCTAAAAGGAAATAAAACAGCACTTTGTGATTCATTCACTTAGTAGATTATCTTAAACCCTGCAATTATAGTTTCCTACCAGAAACCAGTAAAGGATAATACCCATACACAATTTTCTTAATCCGTCGTGCCAATACATGTTATTTTGGGACAAATATCACTTGTTGTAAAAGCAGGGCTCTGTCTATGAATGTGTGTTTTTATGTGTGATAGAGCAAATAAGCCGCCCAGTGAAGGGAAGCACACACCTTCTCAGAGTGAGACACTGCCCGAGGTGAGAACAATGAAACATTGTGCACTGCGAAACACCTTCTTTTACCGGACTTGTAAGGACCAACACTGTCAACAACAACATACTTTTGCAAGACATATTTTTAACAAATGATTTTCCTATTTCAAAATTGAATTTTGACATTACCCATATTCATATTACCACTGAGGTACTTCCGGGTCATTTCACTCCGTTAGGAAGGTTCCTAAGCTAAATGGACTATTCGACTGCAACCTATGTCTTTACTTTCACCTGTTCTTACCCACCCATTTACACCAAACTTTTACTTACATGGATTTACGAAAACTTTGATTGAGTATTGGATAAGTATCTCAGTTGCAACCTTACGGGGCACATTTTCCAAAACACATATGCCTCTGTTTCAGGATGCAGGCCGCTCACAGGAACCTTTTCTTGTTAAGTTCACTAACAATAGTGAGAGCCTTTTGGGGTCTCAGGGCTACCCCTTCTTTAGTTTAAATGACTCTACAGCACGCTCATTAAAGCGAAAGGCCAGCATTCCCCACGAAAACAACAGCATTACAGGGTTTAAACCAGCTCTACACCTGTCACTAGAATTCACACTTCTATCCTCTGAGTTTTCCAAGTTTCATTCGTTTCAGATATTGATTAGTGGAACCGTTCACATTAGTCTAAAGATAATGATATTTCATTTAGGTTTTCCTCTAAAAATTAACCATCACTTTTGCTGCAACGGGTGTCTTTGGGTCCTATTTTTTGTCTGTTCATTTCATGGTTCATTCAGCCAGGTTTACATCCAAATCTAGGGCAAAATGTTATCGAATTTCAAGAAAATGGAAAAATATAATCGCAAATGCATACTCGTTTCCATCTATAGTGGACACCGAAGTTACATGCTTCATGTATGTCATCATTTGTTTGCCAAACCTCTTTTTGATTGCACTGCGTTTTGCCAAGACAAAATACTTTTTTGTGAGATTTCATGATTCTTCTAGAATTTTTGTTTTCAATTAGGTCATTCTATGCCCAAGTAGAACATGTGCATACAAAAGATGGATAGAAATGCTCGCTCGTAAAGGTTGTTGTGGTATTAGCAAACGCTGACCTGATAGCATGCAGGACCTGATTTAGGTCACTGACATCTGAAAGCAAAGATTATTCTGATCTGTAATAAAAACATTTGACATCCGAGCTAAGTGCTTCATTCAAAGGACAGAGGTTGTTGGAGTATTCATTGAAGGGCTGATAAAAAAGAGAACTCCTTAAGCCTAAAGGAGGAACTGCAGTGTAGCTATAGATCCCTGAGGCCCCTCAGGTGTCTTTAAGTCCCAGAATAGTTCTCTTTAGACGGGGCAAACTCATGTTAAAGTAATGTTTACCAAGTTTAGCACAAGAGGGGCCCAGGATGTTGGAAACGAGACTGTCAGGATTTCAATCTTATAGACAACAGACTAGGTTGAACTATATTTAAGTGTATGTATAAGAAGGTACATTTAGGATGTCAAATGTAAATTAGGTAAAAAAAAAGAAGCTTTTGAACAGGACCTTTAAAATGTGTACATTTTTGTCAAAGTTGAACTTGAGTTATACTTAACATCCAGGCTAGCAAAGATAAGCTAACAAGCATAAATCAGACCTCTGTCTTTTCAGGTCATCCTGAGTTTAACGACAGGAAATCGTGGACACTTAATCTTTAGTCTGACTCTGACATGTGTCACTGTGATTAAAGTGGTAATTTAGGAGAAAAAAAAAAAACTGCAAACTGTCTGAAATTGAAAGTCAATAAAATATCTGTTTTTTCTTTTACTTTATAACCATCCTACTTTTTAGATAGATTGTTCAGTAATTGATATCAACACTTCAGTTTTCCACCTAATTCACCTAATGTTATAAAAAAATAAACTACCAAAATATTCTTTGGGGCTTCTCATAACAACATATTGAAATGTAGCTTGTTGTATGAGTGGCAGGTAGTCTGAGCCACCATGCAGCTCCTTTACTGTATCTGTAACCCCCCCCCGTCACAGTCCAGCACCTTTTATGCTTTCCCTTTTTTCTGTCCCACCCTATATCCTTTTCTTTAAAACTCCCCTATTTTAAGAACATTCCTTCCCTTTTGTATCCTGGCAAGCTATAGAGAGTGATACAGGCCGTTGTTGTAAAATTCCAAACCATTAAAACAATTGGTTTAGCAGTTAAAGATGATTTATGCCTCTAACAGTATAATGCATGCAATACAACACATTCATTCAGCTGTTTGTTTCAACAACACAATTATCTCTCATCACTGTGTACTCTGTCTCTTTGTCTGGAATACAGACAAGAAAACCTGAAGGCTATGTGAGACACAAACAAACACACACACACACACACACACACACACACACACACACACACACACACACACACACACACACACACACACACACACACACACACACACACACACACACACACACACACACACACACACACAGGCCTGTATTTATGCATTATTAAAACATTGTTAAACCTCACTCACAAGCAATAAACCACACACATGGGTCCTCATCTGCAGGGCTTTGTCACCATGGTTACAGTCACTAGTTACCCCTAGTTCTAGAGACCAGCTGGTGGACCCTGGCTGTGATGGGGGTGATGTATGAAAAAGACTGACACCAACAAAGAGAGATCAGGTCATGCCGCATGAAGAATTATTCATTAATTCCCTTTTTCCTATTATATGCTCGGACACGCACCTGAAACCAGAGCAGGGCAGAGAAAGCACTGCCTACATTAGCATATTGATCTTTGTATTGATTGCCAGTCTCAGATGAGTATTTACTCTTCCATTCATTTCATCTAATCGAGGTGGGAGTAGTGTTGGAGCTCCAGACAGCGTACCATCTGTTTCCCACTGTTCCACAGAAACGTACAGGGCATGCACGGACACGTCTGTCTGTCTGCTTGGTTGGCACAAGCACAGCTATGTCTCATTTACTAACTTGATTACAGACTCTTTTTACTACCAAAACACTCAGGCGTCCTTTTCCATCATTCCACTCTTACTTACTCACTCTCTTGACTGGCTTTCTTCTCGCCCCCCCCCCCCCCTCTGCACTCTGCCCTGAGCTCCACCTCCAGTTCAGCTGGAATGGTACTGTTTGTCCATGGAAACCATATATGAAATGTCAGATGCTGCATCGTTGAAGTCATATACAGAATGGGACTTTGACTGGAGGGAGCATCCACATGATGAACTACTTTCCTCTACGGAAGCTAAAGAGACTGCCATGACCTAAAGGGACGACCATTACTGACATTTCCATGAGTAAAACATTTACTATCTCCACTGCATCTGCTATGTGAGGGTGACACCAATGAGGAAGATAAACAATAATGTTTTTATTACATTTTTTCAAACATACACTATATTACATCATACATAGCAAAGAGCAGACAGGAAATTGCAAGAAAGCCCCAGCCAGATTTGAATAGTGTATTGCAGGAATGAGTCCTAAATTCAAGTCAAAAAATTTGTTCGCATTTTTGCACTTCCTGTTCTCTTGTCTCGAAGTCAATCGTTTTAAGGAATGGGTTTTGAGATGACTGAAATAAGGTCTGGGGTTAACTCAAGCATAAGAGATTTTGAGAAAGTCATAGCTAACCAGTGGCTAGATAGACATTAAACATAAACATGGCCGTAGCTTTGTCGTGGTTACGTTGTCATGAATACACTACTGGATGTCAAGCCTATAACAGCAATGTTTTTTTGTTGTATTTTTTTAAACTTATTTTTATGGTTTTTCAAGCATTTCAGATTTTATTACATTCTATTATCAAAGAGCAGACAGGAAATGAGGAAGTGGTTGTCTGATAGGTTTGTAGCCTTTAGCTTTGTGGTATGTCTCGACATTACAACATTACATTGAGCCAATGAACACACCTGAAGGGGGAGATTGATGCCAGTTTGTCACATGGGCACAGCCAGGGTGAGCACCTGGACCCCCACACTGCTCCCCGGCTTTTAATACTGCATTAGGTTAAATGCAGTCTAAATTACACTGTGTGTTGTGCTGTGTACATGTGACAGTAAAAAGTAGATTTGAATACTCCATTTATTTCATAATAATAGATTTAAGTTTATTAAAGGATGACATTTAATACATGTGCAGTATTTCACTTGCAGAGAAACAAAGAAAAGCAGACATACACACAGGAGTAGGCCATACAAAATGTAAAATAAGCAGATGTAATGATGGGGAATGCATCTTGACTATAGTATTAGAATCCTCTATATTTACAGACATGTAACTTTACATTTGACTTTACTGTACTATAACTCTACCAAGATCTTGCTGTACAACCCACCCAGAAAGACGCTGCGGAAACCGAAATACACGTTTTGTCTTTTTAAGCAACACCCTCCATTATAAAAACGTTGTACTGGAGCGCCCTCTAGCGGATTTTCCTTGACAAAAAAAAGGAAAGTTGAGGAAAGTGAGTAGATAAAAGTAAGGTAGGAAGGAGAAGTGAAGAAGCACTTACTACGAATGCCTGCACTGTTTCCTGCAGAGGTGACACTCTCTTGCACTTTATAGGATCTACACCTTCATTAGGTGGAAAAGGATGTTTACAACATAGTAATCACAGTTGGCTGGAGCAGAGTGTAGAAGTTCATCCCCCCCCCGTGCAGCAACGGTCACTTATTCCTCCATTGCTGGCCAGATCACCGAACAGGACACAGACTCGTGGGATTGGTCTAGCTTTCGTCGGCCTGGAGCATCTTCTCGATCTCCTGATCCCACTGCTCGTCTCTGTTTTCTGACTCTGACACCACCTCGTACTCCTGGAGCTCCTGCTGCAGCTCCTTCTCCCAGTCCGCTGTCTCTTCTGAATATACAAAAAAGGAAGACAATTATTTAGTATACAATTTAATAACACTGAATACAATCAGTGAATGTTGTTTTCCATTCTCTAAAGTGGCTTGATAGGGACAGGGGGTGTTTCTCAAATGTCGAGTACGCTTGCTTGGTAGCACATGTCTTCCGGGTCACTTGCTTCAGAAGGGAGGCAAGAATACTTCCTGGCATTCGGAAAACAAAGAGTGGAACAGGCTAGCAAGTGTGCAGGTGTGCGTCATATGAGAGGCCCCGCCTTACATCTTCCGCCACAGATTTGGGGAAATTGGTCCGTGCGCAAAGCATTGTGGGGATTTTAAGACCGGAGTCTACACATGTGCAGGCTCGAAATTTCTCGCTATGGAGTACGCCGGGCTCGGTAGAATTCCAAGTATGCTGGACATTGGAACAGTCCTTCGGCGGCACTCGATGACGCAGTATGCTTGAAATAGTGGCTCTGGAGCAGCTTTACTCGCGATTGAGAAACACCCTGTAATTAGGAGTATAGAAGGCAATATATTAAGACGGGCACTAAACTACCAATAAATAAAGTTGCTAAGAGGCTAAGTTAGGCTTTCAGAATGTCTAATCGAGAAAAAAAACGAACAATTACAAAATTCGAATGATATATCCGAGCTAGCTCACCTTCTTTGTCTTCAAAACCCCGGCAAACAACAGGTAGACGAAGTACCATTACATTTTAAAAAGGCGAATATTTCCGGAAGTGAAAGCCAAATACAAATGGTGTGCAATGTGAACAATTGATGATAATAATAGAAATGATCAACTTAAAATAAATAAGCATTTTAGCTCCTACATTGATATTGCCTAACAATAATTATGGTCTTAAAATTTGGACATCGAAATATCAAATACAGCAGAACTTTTTCTGGTTTGTGATATTATTGTCATATCATTTTCTGAACTTAACAAACTTTTCTAGCTGTTCTGTAAGGTTCCTTTACACACTAACATATTATATCAACATTACAGATGGATGTAGCTACAATTCCAAGACCAATAATTTAGCCGCTGAGAGGGCTGATGCAGGGAGGTTTGTCCGACGCTGTATCCGTACATGGGAGACGTAGGCTCCCTGAACTCTCTTCCCTTTCAAACAAACAAAACTATTTATCAGCAGGTGCGCTGGTTATCACACTACACACACACACACCACACACACTACACACACACACACACACCACACACACACACACACCACACACACACACACACAACACACACACACACACACACACACACACACACACACACACACACACTACACACACACACACACAACACACACACACACACACACACACACACACACACACACAACAGCACACACAACAACACACACACACACAAACACACACATCACACACACACACACACACACACACACACACACACACACACACACACACACACACACACACACACACACACACACACACACACACACACACACACACACACCACACACACCACCACACACCACACACACACACACAACACACACACACACACACACACAAACACACACACACTGACAAACCAAAATACATTCCTCACCCTCACATGGATAATTATTCTTTAAAAATGTTATTGTTTAAATATTTTGCGAAAAGCATATATATATATTTGATAGTCTCCATATCCCAAGAACATCTTGCAGGCGCTTAAAAGTGTTCTTATCAAAATGTTAATAGCAACCTTTTAGTTCTCTGGTCCCTACGATAGTCTGCTGAAGGCCTTTCCTTTACACCGGTGCAGCTATGTTGCACACTGTTAAGTTGCACTAAATAAATGTTGTGCTATCAGCACCAGACTGTTGTAAAATGACATGTTAACACCCTGTGCACTTTTGACACTTCTGTTGATGTTTCTACACTCCTACAATTAAACAGGTGTGTTGAGAAGAATGCATTGAAATAACAGTTTATACGGCTCCAAGAAAATATTATACGACTGAATGTTTTTTTAAATACGCTAGCAGACATGCAGTTGCTTGATCCACAACTCCCAAAATGTGTGCGTCAAGAAGGGGAGACTCTGGGATTAAATCCCAAAGCAACTTACAAAGTGCCCAAGGGCATGCCGACATCTTCACTGCAGGGGTTTGGATTGAGCCGCTAAAGGCCCGGACACACCAAGCCGATTTTGGCCGTCGATGGGCGTCGACACGCCCTACTCAGATTGGTGTGTCCCGCACTGTCGTGTCTTTACAGCCGTAACGACACCTATTCGGCCGAAAACCCACCGATTCAACATGTCGAATCGGTGGGCAATCGGCCAAAGGCTGTCGGCAAAAGAAATCACTCTGATTGGCTGTTCAGCTAGCGAATCAGTGCATGAGAAGCAAAACGGAAGTGAGGGACCCAAACAAACTATTAAGAAGGCAAATCTGAGATTTCATTTAACTCCAGCTCTCGACACAGGTTCGGTAAAGCCCCATGAGCTTCTCGTTGTAGAGTGAAAATGGAACGCACACGCTATTTGTTGTTTGTTTATATCACGCAGTCTGTTCTTCTTCTCTCAGTGTATCACGCAGTCTGTTCTTCTTCTCTCGGTTATCACGGGGTGTTTCTCAATCGCGAGTACGCTTGCTTGGTAGCACATGTCTGCCGAGCATCTTGCTTCAGAAGCGAGTCAAGAATACTTCCTGCCATTCGGAAAACAAAGTGTGGAACATGCTAGCAAGTGTGCAGGTGTGCGTCATATGAGAGGCCCCGCTTACATCTTCCGCCACAGATTTGGGGAAATTGGTCCGTGCGCAAAGCATTGTGGGGATTTTAAGGCCGCGAAGTCTACTCATGTGCACACTCGATATTTCTCCAAACGGAGTACGCCGGGCTCGGTAGATTTCCAAGTATACTGGAGATTGGAACAGCACTTCGGCGGCACTCGATGACGTAGTATGCTTGAAATAGTGGCTCGGAAGCAGCTTTACTCGCGATTGAGAAACACCCCTGCAGTCTGTCTTCCGGTTGTTGCGTCTTTTGAATGACGAATACATACTACCACTACCGCCACCTGCTGGTAAGGAGAGTTATTGCCACTCACGGATGCGCAGTTCGTACGTGCTTCTTGGCCGTCGGCTGAAGTCTTTGCGGTGTGTTCCAGTGCTACACATGGCCAAAACGCAGAGACCCGAGGCGACACAACAGTCGGGGGTACGTCTGTGTCAGTTCTTTGGTGTCAGCTTGGTGTGTCTGGGCCTTAACCTTAACCCTACCCATAACCCTACCCCCCCCCCTGCACCACTGATCATCGTGATTTAATTTAGATTACACAATGATTGTCAACCTTCTACCACTAATACTTGGCTTAAACCTCACCATGACCTTTATGTGTAATGGAAATGACCTTAAGTCATTACCATTATGCATAAAGCCTTGTTGTCCCCCTATTGGGTGCCAGTTTGTAACAGACAACATTTGTCTGAAGAACCCGTGGAGAATGTATTAATTAACACATGTATTGTAATGTATTAATGCTAACCATCGAGGGACTGGGGGCTGTCCTTCTTGTCCAGCACCAGCTGCTCCATCTCTTTCCGCAGGTCCTCCTGGTCGATGCCTGTCGAGTCGAAAGCGTCGCTCACAAACTCGGACACCCCGGGACTCATCGACATCTCCTCCTCTTCCTCGTGTGCTGGCTGAGAGTAAGAGAAGACAACCCACTGTACTACTTGTTAAGTTTTAAAATGATGGAAGAACGTATCATTATATGCATTTTGGTATTGTAAAATGTTACAAACCCAGACATGCTTTTATTTGAGTTGTCTTACCTCCTGTGTGTTTTTGATGGAAACTGGTGGAGTTTTTGGTCTGGCGTTGTCTGCAAAACACAACACAGTGCTGTTAAATGTGGTGTGTCACCAGATGCCTCTCTGAGGAACGCTTTAGCAAAAATGTCATTAACACTAATGACAAGCTGAATATGCGTAAATAGTCAATGGATGGAAACAACTGAAGATTTCTTATTCTCGTGACTTACTCTAATACACACAAACCTCCTTAACATAATTATTTGCCATACCACACCTAATAAATTGTATTTTTGTACGCCTCTAGGCATCCAATCAGATCTCTATCTGAGATACAAAAAACTCCCAGCACACATCAACGCAGAAATCCACGCGCTGATATTAATCAAACAAGAACACATGCAACAGAAATGTTTGCGGTAACAAATCTGTTAAGTCATTGGGGGACAAAGCAGAATATTCTATTTTACCACATACTCTGTTTTGAAGTTCAAACAAATGTGTGCTCGTTAACGCAACAAGGCCCTCTTGGCCAGGTCGCTCTTGAAAAAGAGATTTTAATCTCAATGAGACTTTTAGCTGGTTAAATAAAGGATATATATATATATATTAAAAACTCTGACGAAAACACAATGCATATAAATGTTATTGAGTCTAATGCATCAAGCTGATGAATCCCTACAGGGAGAGCAAACAATTCCAGGCGTACAGCTATTTGGGAGCAGCTCCGGGGTCAGTGTGAATGAGCTATAGGATGACAGGCGTACCTGTTAAGACGACGTCCTCAGGTGAGACCCCGGCCCCTCGGTCCTCACCGTCCTTCTGCTGCTGCTGCGCTGCCAGCGCTGTGAGCTGGGCCGACTGTTTGACCAGAGACACCCGGTAGAAATAATTCCTCCAGAAAGCCTCCTCCTTCACACTGTCAGACACAAACAAATCCATTTTATTAGTATTCAGTATTTTTGTATAATGAGATTCCAGTAGCAGCTGCATAGTATTGTTACCAACTTATGTGATGAACATTTCCAAACACTCCAGAGCATTATAAAGTCCAAATATGTAAATCTATTGAAAAAAGACAAATGTTATAATTGTTCTAAATTTCAAACATGTTTTGATCAAATGAAATATCATGCTTCAATGCATATTTGTTGACGTTTAGACTTTCAATAAAAGTATTTTCATCAAAAAAAGTTTGCTCTTCCACTGCTCTTTGCTGTACGAATCATGCTCCTGTATTATAAGGGAACTCTAGAGTCAATCTAACAGCACCATATATACTTTTTATATCACCTTAATAACTAAAAATGATTTGTTTTCTTTCTTATTGTTAGGGTGGTGACATAATATATTATGACAACAGACATTTGAGATTCAATTAGCACACAATACAAAAATATGTTTTGAGGAGAAAAGCACAAGGGTGGAAGAATACTGACTGTTTAGGCACCAGGTCGAAGCGCATGCGGTTGAGTAGCTGGTCTTCCTCCAGCATCACTGCAGCCATGGGATACATCTGCTCCATCTCGAAGTGGAACTGAACTCCAGCGGGAGGGTCGCGCAGGAAGTTCCTCTTGTCCTAGAAATCAGCAGCAAGGGAGATCAGTTTGCACACAGAGTATTAGATACGTATGCAGATTTCCCCTCTGTGGGACGAATAAAGGTATTCTGATTCTGAAATATAGAGGGATAATATAAAAAAAAAAAAAAAAAAAAAAAATACATTTATTATTAATATCACAGACACAAGTGTATTTTCTTACAGCGGACAAAGCGAGGATCTGCTGCTGGATTGTCTCCTCCTCATTGTAGCCGACCCAGGGAGGCACCGCTGCATCTAGACACAAACATCAGCACACACACCTTTAGTTGAGTACACTATGTACAAAGTACATAAACCCTGTGACATAATAACAGTTCCGTGACTCACTAGTCTTTCAGTTGGAATCATGTACACACCTGGATCGGTGATAACAGAAGCTGTTTTACTTTAGAGTGGACCAATTATGCTATATTGGAAAAATACATTGTAGGGCCATACCTATGTCTGTGAAGTTTTTTGCTTAAAATACCAAACAGATCACCCATTGTAGCCATGCCTCATACTGCTCATACCCCCTCTTTTGCAGCCCTGTTGCAAACAGGCTGATTCTGCTTTAAATTGAACGTCTGCTGCTAGCCACGCCCCTTTGTAGCGTCACGCAGCTTTCCCCTGCTAGAGAGATTTCTACCGGGAGATCTTAAACGCTGCGGTGATTAAATGCCATGTTATGCTCCTAACCACTTCAAGTTTTATTTCTGAAACAGTATGGAGCTCAAACCTTTCTCTCTCGCAGGGTTTACCACAAGGACAGATTACGTTACACATATTCTCTCCAGTAGCCTACAGTAGTGATGGCAGTTTGACACTGAAGCTTCGAACGGAGCTTCAACCCTGGACTTCCTATTCCATAGAAGCAGTGATTCGAAGCTTGCTTCAAATCACGTGACATATGACGTCAAAAGCAGCAACTGCTTCAAATCACGTGACGTCCGAACCAGCAACTGCTTCATTTCCTGAATGAATCACTTGACTGGTTCGCAGTCCAATCACGCGATTCAATGCACTGCCTCGTCTCTATTCTGACAGGTGACAGGTTGAAACAGTTTCGAATTTGAGCGCTTCAACACTTTATAACCGCTCTAAACAATGCGCAATGTGTGGGTTGTTGTTGTAGTTTACGTTGTTGCTGTTGAGTTGGTGTTGGGGGGGGGTTTCTATCTGAGCAGATAATCCCTATAGTGAGGTTAAAAAATGAGGCGACATGTTAGTGCAATCAGCAGACATAGCTTCCCTTTTACTTCACACATTACTGTTACTCTTTGATGTATCACTATTTTCCCCCGAAGAGCTAGAATTCCAAGACATTTTCATTGTGTTTCCCACAACAAACCATGACATGCTAATCGAGTGGATACATTGATGCTGGTTTGCCTTGAAAGTCAAGGGGCTCTTTCACAGAAGATAAATCCATTTGGAAGAGATTCCTTTGTTAGCTTATTTATATATAAGATTCTTGCCTGTTAAATCTGGTTTTACCTGATTTTTTGGACTTCTTCTCTTGGACGAACTTCTCCTGCTCTTTTTGAAAGTCTCCTAGGAAAGTCTGCAAATACACAAGTGTAACAAACAGATGCACATTAAATGTAGGTCAAGGACTGGGCGGGGCGGGGGGGGGGGGGGGGGGTGATATTATGTAGGGAATAACACAATATATGTTTTTAATCACCATCGCTGTGTCAACTTCCACAATAACCACAATTTAAATATTGTAACAATGCATGAAACTACATTCTGTTCAGTCGTTATTTGGTCTGAAATGTGCCATGCCGTTAACTAGTGCAGACTAGTGTATTTTGGATTATTGCAGAAAATAAGATGTTTGGTAAACTAACGTTTAGGATATTTACATATTTTGTTCAGCAGGAATATCTCCAGGTTTCAGGACTCATTCCTGCACCATTAAAGGCAGAGCTGAGTACACTTACATATCTGCTCCTGCTGTTTATAATGTGCAGCCCTTTATCATGTTAAAGAGGTCACTGTCATGCTTTTTGGGTTCTCCCTCTCCTGTGCTGTGTTATATAGTTTTGTGTGCATGTAAATGGTCTGCAAAGTCTAAAATCCCTGTGTTTCTCTCCCACACACTCCCCCCCCCCCCCTGCCTGAAACACCTCCATTGGTCTCCTTTATTTACTTCTTTAACATAGTGACATCACTGTAATACTCGTGCTTCTATTGGCTAGCGCTCCAACACATTGTACGTGATAGGCGATTGACCAATCACAACAGATCAGCTAACCAATCAGAGCAGACTGGGCTCTGGTTTCAGACAGAGGGTGAAAAGAGGTGCTGCAGCAACAATGAAGAGCTTTACACATTTCACAGTAGAGGCACAAACATAAACCTGAAAATGAGCATAATAGGGTTCCTTTAAGCAAGTTGCTGTACTTGACAACAAATAACCCCTTCCACAAAGTTGTGTTCTACATGCTTTTAAACTTGTCAAACCAGAAACAACTGCAACATGCCTTGTCTATGATGCCGTCGATCTTCCCCTCTTCCACACTCTTCTTGATGGTCTGAGCCGTCTCCACCACAGACTCCGAGATCTTCTTGGTGGCACTGGAGGCAAAACTGAAGATGTAATCTTCAGGAGGAGAAAGGAAATTAGAAGTTAGCATGGGTGTTAAAATCATCATCCTGTGGGGCTATTGCTAAAAAAATATCTACAACAACAACAACAACACAAGACACATAAGTAAGACAGATACCTCCTTAGGTAGTGAGGTATTTTGAGCTTTACACCACTTCTTATTTGCTTCTATTTTGTTTTTTTGTATGAATATTTCTCTATATTTTAATGTTAGAATAGTTATTTTTTTTTATTATTATAACTATTTTCGCTGCTGTGTATTGGAGCTTAAAGAACAGTGACATTTAACTGGTTTATTTTGTGTTTTAAATTAATTATATGAAGGGTTAACATTGAACAAAGAACCGTTGTATAACTTCATTTGTGTATGACGTGTTAAAACAGACAGATAACAGGCACGGTAGATGACCAGCAAATGCTAGAGCTAATTACCTAGCTTAATCGCAAAAACAGCAATGAATCGTATGTATTTCTCACCGCTGAGTCCTTTTTCGTGCACAGAGTCTTCTTGGTTGGCCTCTGGTTCTCCATGGTCAGCTGCTTGCTGTTTGTTTACTTCGTTTTGTGCCTCCACCACCTTTTCTTCCTGCTCCACTGTCAGGGCTTCTTGGTCGTCCGACGTCTTGCTGTACGTCTGGTTCTCCAACCCCAACCACGACCCGAAACCTTTAAACATGTTGGTCGAATAAAGCGACCGTGAAGCTTAAAGATAAGAACAACAACACTCAGGAAAAAGAGAAGGATTCTTGACTTTATGCTGCCAGGAACTAAACCGACAGGTTTTCTTCTTCTCTGTTTTCTTTGATTCTTTGTAGATAAGTGGGCTGTTTGATACTGCCGCCCAGTGGGCAAAAGGGGGAAATTATGCATTCAAGTGTTGTCTGTTTCAATGGGTAAAATATATGCAGTTGATTTAAATGTGAAATGCCGACATAAATGTAACACCCTGGCTTGGCATCATGACATTGTATGAACAAAGTATTATCAAAAGAGTTTATCAATCAATCTAATGGGTTTTCTGTCGATGATTAAAATGTTTTGGGCACGAAAATCCAAATGTGTACAGTTACTGAAGCTGTAACATAATTGTGGTGCAGTAAAGAGTACAATGTTTGTATTTAAGTGGCATGCAAAAGAAGACTCCAGTAAATCATAAGTACCTCAAATGTGTACTTAACAGCAGCCTACTTGATTACATGTAGTTACATTATTTTGGCAGCATTATTACACAGTTGCAAACTATAACACTATTACAAAGATAAGTATAATTTCTCAAAGTCTGGTAGTTTTACATGGGATATTTATATATAGCCAAGAGTCTGAGGTTATTACGGGAACTGCTGCTATACTGTAATAACTGCAAGTCATTTTAAAAGCAGCCCTTTACCAGCAGGAGGCGGTAAGGAGACCAGATCAAGTACATCGTGTAGTAGTGCGACCATAGACTGTATATATAAAGAGTGCGACAGACAAGAAGACAGGGAGGAAGTCAGAGCCGTGGACCGATGTCATACAGACTCAGGTCAGTTTCATCACAGTTTTAGCCAACATTATGCATTTTACGTATGTGAACGTGATAGATAGTGTAGTAGAACAACTATCGCTACCCCTGTTTTCCCCCTGAGCCGGATCTTGATAGCTGGAGCAGAATTATTAATAGAGGGGTTAGCAGAGAGGCTAGGCCGATGACTTGTAAGGACTTACACCAGACCTCTAATAAAAATGCGTCATTTGAAACACAATGCGTTTTTCATTAATCTTATACATTTATTAGAAAATAACTTACACCATATTAGGGTTGATACAGGGCCTGTGGTTCAGTCGGCATATAATAGTTTAGCGATTTATTGAAGTTGTTTGGTACAGTCACAGTTTGTGCTTATGGAAGATAAGGTGGCAGTGCAACAAATAATGTTGTTAACTGACCAAACCCTAGTGTCATGACCGAGAAAACGTGCGGAGTACAACTATACTATAATAATAATAATCATATCTTCTTCACTTCTTGTACAATTTTCTATATCTGACCCAATGTTTTATTTCAGCTGAAAAATGAAGACTCTGATGGTGTTTGACTTTGACCACACTGTGGTTGATGACAACAGTGACACTTGGGTGATAAGGTAAATAATATGATTTAATGAATTTATGAATCAATACAAAATTCATTAAAAAAACAGGTTTGGTAGTATTTTTTATATTCCTGCAAAATGTATACAAATGTTTGACTATTCACTGACAGGTTCAAGATACAGTTAAAATCTGCAGAGGAAATATTCATTCATATATTTTAATATCAAGCAACAATGTTATCCACTGTGGATCTTTCCTGTTTTTACTGTCCTCAGAAGCCTTCCCTCTCAGACTCTTCCTGACTCTGTAAAGAAATCCTACAGAAAAGGCCACTGGACTGAGTTCATGGGCAGAGTGATGAAGTACATAGGTGAGCATTTACTATCCTGTTTGCTGGCAACTCATTCATTCATACAACTAGAGAGCTGCTAAACATATTTGATCAATAACCTTTTATTTCGACTTTCAACCTATAGAAGCCGTTTTCTGACAATGTGATAAAAAAAAACCTGTTGGTAATTTTAAGGAGAAATGTCTTAGTACCTTCAAATATTGCTTGAGTATCTCAAATAATAATTTAATTTGTCAAAAATATTGACTTAAAGGGGACCTATCATGCAAAATGCACTTTTGTATGTCTTTTATACATGAATATGTGTCCCCGGTGTTCCAGGGAACTCACCAAGTGTCAGAAAACACAACCCTCTCTATTTTCCTCCATACCCAAATCTCTAAAAACAGGGCTGCAACGGATCTGATCAAAACTGATCCAGATTTGAACACTGTCCTGACGTCAGGACGGTGGCGCTACGGCTATTGGGCCAACTCTCCACCTATCAGGGAATGTGGGGTTGGGCCACGGCCGGCCATTTGCCGCTCGAAAGCGCTGGAGACGCTGTAGTACATATGCCAGGCCTGTAAGTGGCGCTGTAGTCTGCCACAAAAGCAGCGAAGAAGACTTCCCGCGCATGGTTGCCATGGTTGCCCTTCTGTTTATTCTCCGCTGTGGCTTTTTTTCTCCCTCCCCGAGGCAAGTGTTTGCTCCTGCTGCTTTAATTCAATGCAATCCCTCCCCGTCGAGGCAAGCACTGTAATTCTCTCCGGTTAGTCCACCAGAAGATGACAAACACCCACCTCTCCGCCTCTTCCAAGGAACGAGGGGACCGTGCGGCAGAGTTTCAGTTAGGTTTTTTTTTCGCCGGTCAAGATGTCCGTTAAAGTTGAAATCTTCCGGACAAAATTAGAAAAGTGCCGGTCAAAGGTCTTCTTTGTTATTTATTGAGCTTTAAAACAAATGAATAACGACTCTATATAATAATATAATAAAACACGGAGGACGGAGATCTCCCCCCTCTTCAGACAGCCCAGCAGCTGTTCAGAGCACGCTCCCCTCTCCTGCAGGGGGGCGTGGTCAGCTGCAGCTCACAGAATCAGCCCCCTGCAAAAACAGTGCTGGAAAGAGCAAATGGAGTGAAATGAGGCATGGCTAAAACGCAGGATCTGTTTGGTATTTTGAAAAAAAAATATATATTTATATACTTTATATAGGTATGGCCCTACAATATATTGTTCAAATATAGCATGATAGGTCCACTTTAATGTATCATATTTATGAAATACTTACCCAAAACCATTACTTTGTATCTCAAATGTATGAACTGCTATTGCAATATAGTGACTAAATGATGCTATATTTCCACGTAATGGTTTATTCTCTCTAAATAATTACTTAAAATATCCCCAAAAATATAGTAATTGCAAAATAGTGACTTAGTATCTCATAGTAAAGAGAAACGTACTCAAAACAATGACTTAATATCCTTAAATAATGAGTGTACAAAGTCATCTTTCCCCCCCCGATACTCGATCATTATTTTGAAATAAATGTCTGATTATTTTGAGATATTAAGTTATTGTTATTTAAAGATGTTTGGCATTTTTTTTCCATCACAATGCTACTTTTTCAATTATTTTTCACTGGTAGAAATGTGCTTCCATACAGACCGTTAAATCTCAGCTTTCTGATCATTTTTCTGTCCGTCCAACCAGGAGAGCAGGAGGTCAGCCCCGACAGCATCCGCAGCGTTATGGAGACCATCCCCTTCACAGCTGGGATGAAAGACTTGCTGACCTTCATTTCAGAGCATAAAAGCACCATTGACTGTATAGTCATCTCTGACTCCAACTCCTTGTTCATAGACTGGATCATCCAGGCATCTGGATTCCACGAAGCCATCGATCAGGTTTACACCAACCCAGCTCAGTTCCAACGGAGCTCGGGGTACATGGAGGTGCAGAACTACCACTCTCATGACTGTGATCAATGCTCCGTAAACCTCTGCAAGAAAAAGGTTCTGGAGGTGTATCTGTCAGAGCAGTCCGATAGAGGGGTAGAGTATGAGCAGGTATTTTACTCAGGGGATGTGCAGGAATGATTTCTGCCCCACTTCCTGTCTGAGAGGGAATGATTTTGTGATGCCCAGGAAAGGGGTACACCCTGGAGAAACTGCTGGTCACACTGCAAGATCAGAAAGATAACTCTTCTCTGAGAGCTTAAAGTCATAGCCTGGAGCAGTGGCACTGACATCCTCTGAGGAACTGAAAGCAAGTATCAAGTTTTAGCCATGAAGTACAAAACTTGGTCCAATCCCTAAGTGGTAGCACTAATGGAAAATATTGAGTCTGTACTGTAGAGGGGCACATGCTGCTCCCCATAATTGTTTAATTTTTTTTTTCAAATTGTTGAGAAAGTAGTACAATTCTGTTTCTAAAATGTTTTCAATCATCATTAAAACCCTTGAAATGTGGTTTTTACTTTGAAAAACAGTAATTACCAGTCGAACAAGATTGGACTCGAAAAAATACAGTACAAAATCAATGTTTACATTGAACTGAAATTTAGTGATCAAGGTTTACAAAAAAAAACCTGTTCGAGACACTGGGTTAACTTGCAACTAAGTCTTTAACTTTCCCATCAAATGAAGGATAGAGTTAGAGTTAGAGCAGAAATACATTTAGCAGATAGGGCTGCTATGGCAACTGGTGCTGAATAAAAGTATACATTTTACATTTTCTAAAATCAGCTTTTTTAATGTTAATTTTTTTCTTATTTCAGATGGAGTCAAGCTAGCCAATTCCCTGTGCGCTCAGTCTTCGTGCTACGCTAAGCTAATGGATCTCCATTTTTGGATGATCGACATTGTAGAAGTACCAAACTTCTCTTTCAACTTTTGTCAAATAAGTATATTTTTCCGCCCACAAAAATCCCTTGAAGCCAGGAAGAGTAAGGTACTTAAAAAACTTAAAAATTATCCACCCAAGTGTTAAGAAGTATGCAGGGCCGCCCCTCCCTACACGCAGAACACGCGCAGTGCGTAGGGCCTCATCTTATGTGCAAATGCGGTGCAATTTTTGCACGCCACAGTTTCCCCGGCGCTAACAGTTCATGAGCGTTCGCGAGTTGTGTACAGACCACAACCCAGCAGCTTGTGGAAGATTCTGGTGACGCGCAATGAAAGCGCGGCCGGTAGATTTGCAGGTATTTATTGATTGCTGTCACATTGTGAAGGGCATTTGAAGATATACAAAAATCTAAAATACATTTACAACTACAAGGTAGCTTTAACCACAGCTATCAACAGATGTTATCACAATCTTCTAAACACACTGAAACGCAATACTTTATCCCCTTGCTCAATGTCAACAGTATATAAATAAGAGTTTATAATT